TAAAAACTCAAGATGCTCACAACTAGACAGAGAAAAGATTGGAGTTCTGAAGGCTTTTATCTTTCTTCGATCTACAATACACGCTCACTGAACTGCCCGTCATAATATCAAAGATGCATTGCATTAGGCGAATCTGCTGTACAAGACCTCTTTAAAGTGTTGAGAAGCAAAGATATTACTTTGAAGACTCGAGTGTGCCTGACCCAAGTCATGGTATTTTCAATTGCTTCATATGCATGTGAAAGTTGGACATTGAATAAGGAAGACTAAAGAAGAACGAACACTTTTGAGTTATGGTGCTGGCGAATAATATTGAAAGTACCATGAACTGCCGAAGAACAAACAGATCTGGCTTGGAATAAATATAGCCAAAATGCTTCTTAGAAGTGAGGACGGCAAGGCTTTCTCTCTTATATTTTGGACATGTTATCCTGGACCAGAACTTAGAAAACTACATCATGATTGGTAAAGAAGAGGAGAAGCCAAAAAGAGGAAGCCCTTCCACAGGATGGATTGGCATAGTGGCTGCAACAATGGACCAGATTAGAACACTGATTTGGAGGGTGGCGAGAGACAAGGCAGTATTTTGTTCTGTTGCACATAAGATGGCTGTAAATGCAAATGACTGAAAGTCACGTAAGAAGAACAACAATATTATCCAAAAAGATGCTTTCTAAAGTTATCTTTGAATTTTTTGACAGGGCTTCAGTCCTAAAGAGTGGTGGTTCAAGCCCACCCATACCTGCCTCACAGGAACAGCCTGGTGATTGCTTCTGGAAGGCAAAGCCTTGGAAACCCCGAGGAGCAGTTTAGTTCTACGTATCCAGAGTTGTCACGGATTTGAATTGAATACACAGCAAGGAACAAAAGCATAATACATTTTTGGATGTTCTTAGTGGATATGCTTCTTCATCTGAGAATGAATCACTTAGGGAAATGACTAAAATATAAAGTAATAATTATTAATACGAGTAATTTATTTTTAATCAAAAAAAAGGGAAATTCAAAACTACTGTAAATAATGTACTTCCACATTAGACCAATAAGCTCATTATCCATGACCTATTGGAGAAGGAGTATCAGTATTAGAAGACAAGAAATCTTGGGTATTCGGTGTTGAGGTGTTGAAAATATAGCACTGTTTTTCTTCATCTTGAAATGGTCAGTTAAACTGGGTAAGCAAATACTTAAACTCAGGTGGACATCCTGATCAACTCCAGGTTATAAATCTCAATGACATTCTTACTGGGGCTTAATTAAATAGGGTACAGTGACTGACCTATGATAAAGAGAAGAAAAGGGGCAATGTTGGCCCAATGGCTAGTAACTGCATGTGTAATAAAGAATTGAAGTGGTGCAACATCCAGGCAAATAGGAATGTAGGCAAATATGTAATTGAATATATGTCACGCAGAGAGAAAGGATAAGAAGAGTCGGCTGAGAAAGTCCAGGGGTGTTTAAGGAAGAGAAAAGCTATTGGGTAATTATATTCAGTTGGAGAATTAGATAGATTGCCAGTGGGGAAAAAGGTGAATTATGATTCTATTCTGTTAGGTGAATTGTGATTTTATGAAATCTAGTACAGATTCTACCTGCTGTTGGATCAAAGCCAAGTGTTTCCAGATGGTCATGATGGCTAAGGGTCCCTTGCAACTCACTCCAGAGTAGAAAACAAAAGGAAATGAGAGGTATGGTCCCTTCTTAGGACTGTCTGGATTCACACAGTGGCATCCTTTATCAAACATTCTGCTGATGCTGTGGCTTTTGTCTAAAACAAGTCTTGTTAATAAAACATACTGCCCAATCCAGAATATCTAGATGACAGGCAATGAAATGAAATCGATTAAATCAAATAGATACAGAGCAAGGCCACTTTTTAGACCAAATTAAACCACCAATTTCTAAACAAACTTCAAGCCTTAAGATATCTATCAGCACACATGTAGCCACATATAAAATAATAAATCACTGAAAATTCTGTTTAGATTTGTTTAGATTTCACCTATGGAAGGCCTCTATGAGTACAATCATCAAATGCTTTAAAAAGTGTTTGCGTAGAAGACCCCAAAAATATAGTCCTGAATAAAAGGCTTAAATTTCATCATTTATGTTATGAGGCAGGAAATAAATGTGAAGCAATATATTCAGTTGTGTTTTAGATGCATCCATTTACTCTACAGATTTATAATAAAGGAAAAATCAATTTGGATAACGTGCAGAGTAGAAATAGAAAGCTCCGAAAACATGTTATGTTACATAAACAAAAGTACGTCACTGGATGTCATTGAATAATTCAAAGAAAACGGACATATGTGTAAAAGAAATTCTACTCGAATAAACCATCTTGCTTTTTAAATTAATGTCATACAATAGTGAAAACTGCTGCCTGATATTTATGCTTGTCTGGAATTGCGACAGGAGTCCAAGCCCCAGTGGTGTGATGGTCGTGCATTGGATTGCAATCTGCGTAGTTGCAGTTCAAAACCACCAGCAGCTCGGTGGGAGAAAGACTGGGGTGTCTACTCCTGTAAACAGTTACAGGCTCAGAAACTCAGAGGGTGTTACAATGAGTCAGCATTGACTGGATGGCAGTGGGGTTTTTGGTTTGGGGAATTGCTATAAAAATCTTTATGCATTTTTTCAATGCTTTTAATTCTTAAACAAATTAATTTTTCTACAAATTATTCCTGTAAAGTAATTAAAATGACCTAAAATATTGTTCATATTATTAGCCCTCTAATGGGATTAATTAAATTAAATGTGTTTGATATTATTGCTATAGGTTGGTGTATTTTGTTGGTTAATGGCTATAAGCTATAATTCACTCCATGGATCATAATGAGTCTTGAGATTGAAAATATATCATGTTCATTCCCTCAAGGTCATACCGTTTATCAGGATTGATGGCGCTAAGCATTGTGCCATGGTCAGTTTGTAGGGAACATTGATGAGATCCATTTTGCATAAAGTAACCCTTAGTTCCAACAGTAGTATGCTCAACGATACCTTTTATAAGTCATTCTTGCTACATTATGGAGAGATAAAGCTAAATGTAAGGGACAAAAGTGGATAAGAAATGACAGTTGGAGATACATTCCACTAATACCAGTGAGAGAACAATATAGTCCATTCATTAAGCATGGACTCTCAAAGCAGATGTCCTAGGTTTAAATACAGCATCCATCATTTAGCCATTTGACCTGGTGCAAGTCACTCAATCTTCTTATTCGTCGGTATATTTTTTAGTAAAATGGTAGCTAAATGAGCCGCCACCTCAAGGATTACTGTAAGAAATAAAAGAGTTAATGTATCACAGGAAGTGTTAGACAATGTCAAGCACTATTTGTGACTCAAGATGGTTTGGGTGGGGAGAGAAATGAGTGAACTACAAGGTGTATCTATAGCTTCCCCCTCCACCCTGAGGGGTACAAATAACAGATATGAGGGTGAAGGAAGACAACGGACAGTGTGAGATACAAAATAACAATATCATATAATTGATCAAGGATTTTTTTTAATCAATTTATTGGGGCTCATACAATTCATCACAATACATAGATCAATTGTGTAAAGCACATCTATACATTTGTTGCCCTCATCATTCCCAAAATTCGCTTGCCTCTTGGGTTACCGGAATCCGCTCATTTTCCTTTTTTTTTTTTCCCCCCCTTGATCAAGGATTAATGAGGGTGGGGTGGGAAGGAAAGAGGAGCTGATACCAAGGGCCCAAGTGGAAAGAAAATGTTATGGAAATGTTGATGGCAACATATGTATAAGGGTGCTTAACACAATTGAATGATGGACTTTTATAAAATTTGTAAGAGCCCCCCCCCAAATAAAATAATTTATTAAAAAAAAATAAATGAGTGAACTAAATTGAGTGTATTTCGGATATGTGGGAGTGTTGGGGATCTTCAAATTAAATAATATTATTTGATTAATAAAGATGGACTTGAGATAAAATGTGCTGATATTATGCTTTGTTATTTTATTAAGTGTTAAAAGAGATGATAGTTTATAAGCAATAGTTTTTACTTAGATTTTTATAGTTGTATCGTTACTTGCCATAGAGTAGGTGATGACAAGTGTACAGAATAGAACTGTTCTAGAACCTTCCTGAAGCAGCCACCAGATCTATTTTATATAGTGCCTATGCATGAGTTCAAGTTGCCAATCTTTTGGCTAGTTGTCAAGAGCCTAACCATTTTCTGCCACTCAGAGATATTTACATTCTGTTTTCAAATGTTTCCAAATGATCAAAGTCGTGTATAAGATACGAGCCTAGGTGATTATGCTATGATGGTTACAGTACGTTTTAGAAGATGCTGAGACGATATAGCCATGGAACCCTACACTCATGGCCCCAGACAGTTCATTTTCCAGTTTAGGTTCATCGTTCTTCGCTCTGCTATCATCTCTCCTCTTTCCTTTGTTGAGACTTGTCTCAATGTTCCTGTAAGACAGAAGCTGGTTTTCCGAAACTGCCCTGGATAGGAGAAAAATACTGCACATCTGTCTGCTATTCTTCTTTTCTAAATATAGACATAATTGATAAATTTCTAAATGATTACCTGTCTTCCCTGGAATGCCTTCTCTCTGCTCCTCCCACTATCCAAGTTGTAAGTTCTGCCCAATTCTCAACTACACGGTACCCTTGTCTTCTCCCTCAGCTGGTCTACCCGTTCTCCAAATTCCAGGTGGAAATTTAGGGGCTACTTTTGCAGGTTAAAAACAAAATTCAAAAAATATTTTCTTCTCGGATTGTGATTTATTCTCACGTAGATTGTTAAGCATACGTGCACGGTTCTATTTTTTTTTTTAATTCTCAACTAAAATTCTAGGTAAATAATACCCCTACATTTTGTTGAATCATTGTAAAAAATTCTATGTGTTTCCAACCGCACACTTACTTTGTCTTTTATGTAAGTGGGCATTCGTGTTCAAGCACACCCAGGATGATACCCAAACTTACAAGATGCATCCTTTCTCCTTTCTCCTAGTCTGCTCCCAGTTTTCAAGAGGTGTCTATGCCATCTTTGGCTTTTACGACAAGAAGTCTGTCAATACCATCACATCGTTCTGCGGGACCCTCCATGTCTCCTTCATCACGCCCAGCTTCCCAACCGATGGCACACATCCATTCGTCATTCAGATGAGGCCTGACCTCAAGGGAGCACTTCTTAGCCTGATTGAGTACTATCAATGGGATAAGTTCGCATATCTTTACGACAGTGACAGAGGTAAGTCGCAGTCTTTCTATGTTTTGCTAGTGGTGTAAATTTCAAGCTTACATGGTTATTTATAAGTACCATTACAGATCTGTAAATGTGTATAAAATTCCAGCCTCCATTTAATTTTGCTGTGTAAATGAGTAATGCAGTTGGAAATTTCGAAATCCTATTTACAGTATCACAAAAAACTTTGGCTGTACAAGTTTTAGATATAGGTTATGCCCTCCCTAGGGCCAAATGCGCTGTTTAACATTAAAAACACAGTCTGGCACGTCTTAATTCATACCCAACAATAACTTCATCTAAGTTATTGTTCATCTAAGTTGCCCAACAATAACTTAGTCTAAGTTAGTGAAGTGACTCTGGAAAAGAGGCTTACGTAAAATTTAAATGAACATGATAAGAAATGTTTTACGCATTCATAGTTCCTCAGCATTTCGTATGTGAAGGTTTTACAAGGCTCTTGCTTATAAATAAGATCTCTGGTTATCAGGGAAGTTGAAGGTCTTGCCCGCATCAAGCCATGTGTAATGCAGCCTGAACCCAGACACACTGTCATCAGAACAATGGTTGTGTGTGGAGGGGGTGCCTTTTTTTTTTTTTTTTTACAGTTTTACCCAATATCTTATGATGGGACAAGTTTGATTAGTATAGCACTTGATAGCCTGTGCTCATTGGACTAAAGGTATGGGAGGTGTGGCTGGGTGGGGTTTGCTTTAATTTGTGCCTCCCCTGTCCCATCGTATAAAGCTTAGTACTGACAAGTTGCCTGATTTATATGGCAAAGGATCCTTGATTTTCTGAACTATTCTTGGATCCACCATTAAGCTTCAGTGGGTTTCCGAAAACCAAAAAAAAATGAGCTCACTGTCATCCCACTGATTCCGATTGACAGTGACCCTGTAAGACAGAGTAGAACTGTTCCTTTGGATTTTCGATATTTTCAATCTTTGCAGGTGTAGACAGCCTCATCTTTCTTCCTTGGAGCTGCTGGTGGTTTTCAACCTTTGACCTTGAGGAGAGCACCTCACTGCATAACCGCAACACCAGCAGTAGAGGCTTTCTGCTCCCACAAAGAAAACGGGGAGCTGACTAAGCCTTCAAGGGTCCCTAAAATTGTATTAAATCATTTTGTGCGTGTTTCTATATGCATCTTGTAAAGCGAAGATACATAACCAAACCCAAAATGAATAAGGACCTCCATTGTAAGACTGCCTAAGTATCAAGCCGTGTTCCTTCAGCAATTTGCTTCCTGGAATATTTAAAAGTTCCAATGAACGCTAGAAATCTGTTTAGACCAAGACAGGGCACCGTGGTAGCCTGCAAAGGCAGACAAGAAGGCGGCCATCAGTGAATGTTCCACTGGTCAGTGTGTAGCCATTTGTGGCAGTGATCCCAAGTCGGAGTTCTCAGGTACGTGTCTGATTTTCTGTCCTGCCATCCAAGCCCTGGGAATGAGACGCGCACTGGAGAAATGAGTCAGCACTACACAAGATGTTTAGGAAAAAAAAGTCAGGTCAACATGTTTTTCTTCTTGCTTTGAGAACATAGATTTGCTATTCTCATGGGAAATGGAATACTAAAACATAAAACCGTTTATAGTAAATATGAATTTAAATAGATTAAGCGATTCTAAGGTATATATGTCTTATTAATATTATAAAACTGGTTGTTTATTCTCTTTTTTCTTGATCTCGATTAACTCATTCAGTACTCTGTAATATTGATAAAACTAACTAGAAATTTGCTAATATTCTTAACACCCTCTCCGCCTTGAGCAGGCCGATCCAATTTTAACCACCTAAGTAATCTACGCATTCTTCTATTTTTATGGTTATTATTCCAGTTCAAGCTACCTTTGTGTGTTCAATACCTTGTTGCTCCACTTCCACATTTGTGTCTCTTTATTTTTTCAAATACAGACAAAACGATCATTTAAAAATATTTTTCTAACCTTTAACCATTTAAAATAAGTCCATGGCTTTTCATTATAATAACGTTAAAATTAAAACAAACAAATGAAAACAGCATGGTTGAAACTTCCTTTGCAATCATTCAACATATATTATGCACTCATTAAGCTAAACCTATCTGGCTGTTGTGTTTTTCACTTTTTCAGTTGCTCTAAATTTTTTCATCCTAAATTTCTGTATGTATAAGTCTAACCTTCTTCACTCCTCTTTCATGCCTCTGTTTATGTATCATTTCCTAAGAGATACCTTTTATTTTATTCTCTCAAAGCAGTTTCTTCTATGTCTTCGTGGATTTTGTCTGACATTCTTACCACACACAGTTTATCATTATTGTTGTTCATTTTAGCGGTGCAGTGGGTCGGGTGGCCTGCTAAAGACACAACCTGTAGTGCGAACCCAGCAGGCATTCTCAGAAGAGCGATGAGGCTTTCTGCTCCTCCAAAGACTTATAGCCTCAGAAACTCAAAGGAGAAACTCTACTCTGTTTTATTGGCTCACTATGAGTCACCACCCACTTTATGGGTGGGCTTTCAGTAGGTTCTGACAGTTCACTATTTCATTTTATAAATATTTATTGAGTCTCTTCTATGTTCCAGGGATTATTTTAATCCCATGAGATAAACACTATATTTTAAAAATTTAAGATCTGGGTGTCAGTATTATGATTTGGTTACACCGTGAATTCCAGTAAGGCAATGTCCACCCGTGTTTTGCTTAGTAATTTCAATAAATGAATGAGTTAGACATACATGAATTCTGAGCTAAAGTTGACAATGAAACTTGCTTCTTACTTGCTAATTTGAAGAACCAGAGGATGAACCCTCTTCTGTATCTTTCTGTTCTTCACTGTCTGACAAGGTTGAAGGTGGCATTTATAGATTAGGAGCCTATCACACCGCACTATTGTGCCCTCCAGTTAAAATGGAACTTCTTGAGAAAATTCAAATAGACAACAACTGGCCTCAATAGAAAGAGAGAAAACCCAGTATCTAAAGAGAACCAGGCTCAGGAGAATGATCAGGTGAAGATGGATAGATTTATGCACTGATGAGAATCTGGGAAATATTTTAAATGGTTTCATTAATAGACACATGAAGTGAAATTGAGGTAATTTGTTAACCTCCCATAATTAAATTATGCAAGTTGATTTGACTTCAAGTGCGTCTTCTGAAAGAATATCAAATTGATAACATTAAGTAATTACATGTTAAAGCTAAAAATGACAGTATGGATACATTTTCAAGGTGTTATAATATAGTGCAGAGTTTTAATATGAAGAATATGACACTGGCTGGCGTTTCATCTGAAATTATTTTCAGAGATAAGTGTGGAGGAACCTCAAAATACTGGCTAGAGACATAACCTTGTAAATAAGATTTAATTAAATATTTAATAACATGGCACATAAAAATAACATCTTTGCTCTCAGATTTTCTTCTGTCTTTATGAGATAATTTTTATAACTTTCCCATCATATTACTTTTAAAAAGTTTATTCATGCATTCATCATGGGACCTGCTTTTTTCCTCTAATTTTTAACCAATTTCGAACATATCAAAATGGCATGTCCTTGCTATTATGTGGACAATATGCATATATCCCCTTTATCTATTTTATCCAGATCTTTAAAATAGATTCCACGATTTCATCTTTCAACTTATATTTCTCCTGCCTAATTCCAAACCCCTTAGTCTGTCTTGATATGGTCCCATCTCCACTTTCTTGTTTATATGATTTTGTTCAGTTTCTAACCTGGCCTGCATTTTTCTGAGAGTGGAGCTCAGGCAAAAGTATTGTTAAATGTTAACTTCTAACTATATTTATTGGTTTGAATAGCATAGGACCTAAGGTTAAAAACCATCTCCCAACATTCTGCCTGACTATGAGTGACACAAAAAGGACTTAACATTGTCCGTGTGTGCTCATTGCCCTGACCTTAACTATGACTTCAATGGAAAGATTCCTTCATCCCAGCTATCCATGCAAATGCTGAACACCAGGTCAGAAGTCTTCTTGCATTCCAGTGTTTGTAGGACAACGTCCTGGACGAATCTAAATTCACTCGTGGGTGTGAAATGTTAACACTGTTCTCATCGGTTGCTTGTCATCTTTGACGATTGTAGATGTCGTCAGCAAAGAACATGGGAAGCAGCCTAGCTCTCCTTGATGAGTTTTGTATCCTTCCGAAAGCTCACCGGACTCATAGAAACCCGACAGGGAAGATTCTAACCTCCCTTGTGGGTTTCTGAGACTGTAACTCTTTATAGGAAGGAGTAGGAAGCCTCATCTTTCTCCCAAGGAGGGGCTGGTGGTTTCGAACTGCTGACCATGTGGTGAGCTGCCCAGTGAGTAATGTACTATGCCTCCAGGGCTCCTGCCATACCTAAAAGCTGCATATTAAGTGCCAATAAAATTTAAAAAAACACCAGCATATTAATTGCTCCATGGACAGTAAGTAGATAGATCTTTAGTATACTTTATAACAATAGTGTAGTGGGCCTACATATCTCAATGCATTAAATAATATAGTTTATATTTGAATATATAGATGTATCAAATTTGATTCAAAATATGTTTTTCATTTATTAGCTCACCATCAGCAAGGTAAAGTAATATATTTTACTGGCAATAAGTAAAATCGGAATTAATGCTTTGCATCTTTATGTCTTGGTTTTAAATTGAGTGATATTATATGTCCTTAGAAAGAAAATTGGTTTGATCAGAGCTTTGTGCATGGAACAAAAATACTTCCAAATTATAAAGTTCTTTTCTGATGTCCCAAAGAAAGCCCATAATGAAAATATATGTTAATCTAATCTGGGCTAGGCATGCTGCCATGATTTGGTGATCATAAATATTAACTTCTAAGTCTGAAAAAATGAATACAGACATAAAATTTTAAATTGAGCAAAGATAATAGTTTTCAAAGGAAAGACATGATGTGAATGAAATAGACGTATTAGAAGTATCCACTCTTAATTTCACCACTCAAATGACAAGCTAAACCTTTTCAATCCCACCTATTTTAGAGCCGGT